AGAAAATATACGATGTGAATAGAATTTTCTACACCAGCGTAAAGGTCGAAAAACCGTACCCAAAAAGAGAGTTCATCCAGTGCCATAATTGCCAAGCATATGGCCACACCAAGTCTTATTGCCACCACTTACCACGCTGCGTGAAATGTGGTAAAACACACAAGTCTGGCGAGTGTAATAAACCAATTACAGAACCAGCAGTCTGTGCCCTATGGCTGGAAGGCCATCCAGCCAACTACAAAGGCTGCCAAATTTATAAAAATCTTAAAGCGAGATATATGAAACCCAGGGACCCTGATGATACACCTAAACCAAGAAGAGGACCCGCTAAAATTGTGAACTCTAAGGTTTCTTTTGCCAAGCTACTTGGGGGTAGAGACCCGACTAATGTATGTGAGGCCCTGCCGCAAGAACAAACTCAACCCCAATCTCAATATCCTATCCCACCTAATGTACCTAATCAACAACAACCTCACCAACATCAAATCCAATATGTTCCTCCACCGCCTAATGCTACAGATCTAACCAGCTTATTGACATCCTTTCTTTCAGAATTTAAATCCCTTGTTACCCCACTGATATCACTTCTCACTAACCTAGTATCTCACCTTATCCCTCCTTTAAAAAATCCTTAAATGACTTCCATCAAACCCATATCCATTCTCCTTTGGAATGCGAATGGTGTTAGAAATCACATACACGAACTAACAGCCTTACTACAAGACAAGAACGTAGACGTAGCCCTAATAACGGAAACTCGACTGACTAAAAAACAGCTCCTAAAAATACCACAATACATAACTTACCGTACCGACCATCCTGACGGTAGAGCACATGCCGGTACTGCAGTCATTGTGCACCAATCCCTCTCCCATCACCTACTCCCACTGCCTACACACGATTTCCTACAATCCACCGCAGTCGTAATCAAAACCTTCTCCTTTCCTATTACCGTTGCATCAGCGTATTGCCCTCCAAACCAATCCATCTCCAATATCCAATTTAGTTCCTTCCTCATTTCCTTAGGACATCATTTCATCTTGGGTGCAGACTTAAACGCCAAGCATCAACAATGGGGTTCAAGAACCACGAATTCTCGTGGTCGAACATTGCTGTCTGTACTCAATTCCCAAAATTTTACCCTTCTTCCACCCAACTCACCTACCTACTGGCCCACTGATCCTAACCGTAATCCCGATATCCTCGATTTCTTTATCCATAATGGTTTAGGTGCTCTCAACCATTCCGTTGCCCGTCTTGACGAGCTTTCCTCAGACCACAGCCCATTAATACTCCAAGTATCACTAGCTCCTATTCCTAAACCCTCTCCTCCGTCCTTCATCAGAGGCCCAGTTAACTGGAAACTCTTTCATCAAATCCTCTCCGATAAAATTGACCTCAGAGTAACCCTGAAAACCTCTGAAGACCTGGACAATGCAGTACATTCCTTCACTACCAAAATTCAAGAAGCAGTCTGGACTGCTTCCTCCCCTGATCACTCCTCAAAAATCCTTAAGAAACATAATTTACCTCAACACCTCCTTGACCTAATCCACATAAAACGCCGTGCCAGATTATTATGGCAACGTACCAGACATCCAGCCGACCGCCACTCCTACAATTATCACTGTAAAAAATTAAAACAAGAGTTAGCCACCTTCAGATCCCAATCATTCAATTCCTACCTCACCACACTCTCTGCTCATGATAATTCTCTTTGGAATATCACCAGAAAAATCCTCAAATCCCATCATATTTCCCACCCTCTTCGACGAGATGATGGCTCCTGGGCAGCATCTGATGAAGATAAAGCCGAGGAATTTGCCAAACACCTTTCCTATACTTTCGCTCCTCATCCAGAATCCCATCCCAGCCACACAGTAAAAGTAGAAGAATCCCTCTCAATACCTATCCCACTCTCCTTACCACCTAAAGCTGTTAATCCCTCTGAGGTCAAATACCTTTTACGGAAAATCACACCTCGCAAATCTCCTGGATATGACCTTCTAACCCCACAGATCCTTCGACAACTTCCATCTAAAGCCATCATATTTCTTACATATATATACAATTGCATCCTACGAACTACCCACTTCCCTCTTTTATGGAAACATTCCACCATCGTCCTCTTCTTGAAACCAGGCAAACCTTCCAACAATACAGCATCCTATAGACCAATTAGCCTACTCCCAATCCTCTCAAAAATTTTTGAAAAGATCCTACTGAAACGAATCCTACCTATAATTGAATCCTATAACCTTCCTACTCATCAATTCGGATTTCGTTCCCAACATTCCACTGTCCAGCAAGGACTCCGAGTTGTTGACCATATATCCTCAACCCTAGAAAGCAAGCAGTATTGCTCGGGTGCATTTCTGGACATAGCGCAAGCTTTTGACCGGGTATGGCACGCCGGATTACTCTTCAAGCTTAAAATCCATCTACCACAGTCCTTATACCTAGTACTCCGATCCTATCTTTCCGACCGCTCCTTCCGAGTTCGCTGTGGCACCGAATTCTCCGACTGTTACTCAATTGAGGCTGGCGTTCCTCAAGGCAGCGTCTTGGGCCCCATCCTTTACATTCTCTTTACCGCTGATATTCCTGTCCATCCCGATACCCTCCTGGCAACTTTCGCTGATGACACTGCTATCCTTTCTTCCAACTCAGATCCTGAAACAGCGTCCGCAAACTTACAAAGGCACCTCTTCCTGATTGAACACTGGTGTAAGAAATGGCGCATTAAGGTAAACGAATCTAAATGTAAACACATTACCTTCACCCTTCGGCGTAATACCTGCCCACCAGTTTATTTTAACTCCATCCAGCTTCCTTTCTCAGATACAGTCCGGTATCTTGGCTTTCTCTTAGACAGACGACTAACATGGAATCCACATACTCGACTTAAAAGACAGGAACTTAACAGACGATATGGCCAGCTATATAGACTACTGAATAGAAAATCTAAACTTTCTGGTGAAAACAAATTACTGATCTACAAGACAATACTGAAACCCATCTGGACTTACGGACTAGAACTATGGGGAACAGCCAAATTTTCTAACATCAAACGCATTCAATCCTTTCAGTCTAAAGTCCTCCGTACAATAGTCAATGCTCCCTTCTATGTAACCAATAAAACCCTACACCATGACCTTAATATCCCATTTATTCTTGATCTTATCCCAGCCAAATTTTCCAAATTTCACCAGAACCTTTCTCATCACCCAAATCCCGTTGTACAATCCCTATCAAGCACCACCCATCCCTACAATCCCCTTCGTAGGTTAAAGCGGCAGTGGCCACGAGACCTTTTGTAAATATGGATATTTTGGAGTTCTAGCAATGGCCAGATTCTCCACTCAAGTCATGAGTGTCTGTGGCTGTAGCGCTCTTACTCATCCTCCGCTGGTTTAAAATACCAGTGAAGTGGCTGAGGGAGAAGCGTAGGGATCTCCTAAGCCTCCCTTTTCCCTCCACATGTGGAGGGGACAGGATTGGTTCGGAGATCACCTGGCAAATTGTAAATAATGTATGTTTTATATAAGGTGTTTGTTTTACTTTCATTTCTATTTTTATTTACTTATGTGTATATATATATATATATATATATATATATATATATATATATATATATATTTTCTTTTTCTTTACTCTTTTGTTCTTTCTTCTTATTCTTTTGTTATTACTTTATTTATTTATATTTTTGTATATACGGTATGAATGCAATCTCTGAACTCTATTATAAGTGTCCTTAACTGTGACAAATTGTAATATTTCTGAATAAAGTGTTTTAATAAGTAAAAAAAAAAAAATTAATAAACATTTTCATTGCAATAAAACTAGAAAAAAATAAAACAAAAAGTACATCATAAAAGAAATTTTCTTTTATTATAAATTTTTACCAATATAAATGCAAATTACATTCCTTTTCTTCATATAATTAATATTTGATTATATGTTCTTAAATATTGCTAGAATGCCTAAATCCATATGACACACTGTTTAGGATATAGAATAATGGTTCTGAATGTTTTGGGTTCGATTCCCACCTGGGTTGGTTACTTTTCATTTCTCGGCGGCCTCTGGGAAATGGATCGTGACATTTCCACTCTGATAAGTACACGGCAGTAACCTCAAGGTAGCCGTCAGTGGTTGACAAAAAGGACCACGATAGGCCCACTTGCCAGACTAGTTCCTCCAACCAGTACCAGTAGATTAGAGCTATAGTTTGTCTTTAATGAATTACTTATGAATCTAATGCATCATTTGTTTGAGTAGCTATTAATACAAGTTTATTTTAGTAGCAAATCAATCATAAGTAGAATTTTATGAGATATATCTCATGAGTTGAGCTCTATTAACTCCGAGCATCCTTTCTCAATTTACAGTCTTGAGCAACTCGTAACCCTGTCACATAAAATAAGATTCCTTGTTTCTGACCACTATACTCCTTCCAACAGAATTAAACCTTTGAACGTTCCTTTCTTACCCGGTATATCGCCTTCTGTAATTCCTTACCATCTAGTATACGTCAAGCTCCTTCCTTATTCTCATTCAAATTCTTCCTTTCCAATAACCTTCTTACATCCCAATAAGGCGCACTATAATCTTGAAATTTCTATTTAAGAATAAAATGTTGATTTGATGTGAATATTCACAATATATGATCTGCGAATTTTGGGTTTATTTATTGATTTCACATTTTTTTCTTTTTTTCTCTTTTTTTTTTATTAATTAATTTATCATTGTTTTTACTACTTTATTATGTCTGTATATTTCATTTGTTACATTCAATCTAATGGTGATATTATTTTGGAGTTTACATGTATAATGATTGAACTTGAGTTACGTTGTTTTTGTCCAGTGTTTTATTCAATTTATTTTATTCATAAGGGACATAGCAAAATTTGTTTCCAATTCTATTATATTCTAAAACCCAAATTAAAAATATTTTAATATTTATTTAACGCAAAAAAATAACTCTTTTTTTCTGTTTTCAGATATAAAAGGACTCAGAGGAAAAGGCGATTATCGAGAAATTCTAGTCAGTTGGGAGTACCCAACAAAGTCTTGGTTCATGATTCAATACTGCGAGGTTCAAGCGTGGGGTCCTTCCAGATGCAAAGCAAAGGTAAACAGTTTTCTTTAAAACATCTTTTTATAAGTATCCAACGAAACTTCCATATGTTGACCATATTCATGACTCCATATTATGTTCCATATTCATGACTTATACATAATTATTTAAACTGTTTATTTATATGTTGAATGTGTGATGACTAAAAAAAAGCTCTACTCGACTAATTAGACCACTACGGCACAGGTTCGATTCCCTCATGGAGATAGTAACGTCCCCACCCTGAGATTCATAGCGAGGTGGTGAGCGACCTCTTTGTTTCATCTAGTAGGTAGGGGGTTGGTTACAGGGCTGATAAAAAAACTAGGTGGAAGATTGAAGCAAAAGATTGCCAATCATTCTTCAGGAAAGTTTCTGATAAAGAGGAAGTGAAACACGTGGAGTAAACACTAACCAAGCGATCACTATTGTCACCTATAACAGGCTCAAGCTGCTGAAGAAGAATCATGTCTTAAAAGTCAAAGTCAACTGGCGTAAGAAAAAAACAACTAAGGTGTGTGCTTTAGACATCAACAAGGCGAGATTAATTATATGAAATATACATTATAAATAATATATCATTATAAAGAGAATGAAATACTGAACATTTTCCTCGCTGACAGTATGCAGGTCCGATTTTTACTTTCGATGGTATTTTAATCCAAATCTCCAATAAAAATCGTTATCATTTGATTCTGGAAACTATATTTTTCTCTGTCCTACTTCCTAACAAGGTGTTGGGTTAAGATACAATTTTGAATAATAGCTCATTACAAAGAAGATGAAATGAAGAGATGTATCGGAAATATATTGATCCATATGTTCCGCTAAGCTCGTTATCATTTGGTTTTCGACACTATTTTTCCTTTTCGCATCCCTAACACTGCGTAACGTTAAGATACAATTTTGATTATAGCCTATTACAGAGAGGTTGAAATGCTTAACAATTTCCTCGCTTACAGTACGCAGTCCCGATTTTTAGTTTCTGAAATATTTTAAACCATATGTAAAAATGTTTCAATTAGTCAACTCTAGCCGACCTAACTCGAACGTTAACACTTCAGAAATCACAGAAATGTTCACTCTCCACAAAAAAAATACAAAACGCGCCTAAAGAAGTTATGTCTTAAAAAAAAAAAAAAGAATGTCTGAAAGTTTTAATAAATATTATACTTTTCTCTATTTACTACTGAGGAAGATGTTTTAAAATTTATTTGTACCGAGAAATCGAACCTGTGATCGGGAAAATAAATCTATCCAAAGAGCGGAGGTTTACATTTCAAAGTAAAGACTTGGATAAAGAAAAGAATAGGGAACAAAGAAAAAGCGTACTAAATCAGATCTTTAACCGACATAACCTTTTGCTTCGGCAAGAAATATATTTAAATCAGGATCCTTTGTTGAGGGCCAGCCTTTGTTTTTCTTTATTTACTTTTTATTGTGCTTTTTTTCTGAACTTCCTTGAGTCTTGGCTTGAGTTCTCGCTAACTGTTTTCAATTTTTTTTTTCTCTCCTTTTTCTATTACAGTAAAAATTCTCGATATCTAACTATGCTAAACTCACTTAAGAGTATATTAAAAAGAACTAAAAATACACATATCTTAAGCCATTTAAGAATTAAGGAAATCTAAATTAAGTTTAACACATACGAATGCCAGGTAACGTTCGTAGAAGGTTAAAGAGGAGCTGGATGAAGGACCTCCTCGCCTAACGATTAATGTAGATATTACGCTATATGAGGCAGAATATAAAATCTCTGCTAAAATGCCACTGTTAGATAATTTTATGTTCCTTAAAAAGGACATTAAAATATCGACTTCAACAAAATAATTTTTTATTGACTTTCTAATATCAGGCAATGTGTTGATTTCTGTACACCGAGCTGAGTTTTGGTCGATTACAAAAGATTCATTATTAAAAACAATTAACTAAAAACATGCAAAAAAAAACAATATAATTTTAAAACGCCTTTTAAAGGATAGAAACCTAGTTCAATAATTTTTTAGAAAATTTATATATTTTTAATTATACACAAATAAAATTTACTTTTCGTAATAACTGTTTTCATTTTTTCTATCAAGAGTGTGTAGGATTATACTATGTATTAACAGTACAAGGGCTCAAAAGAACATGAGCGTTTTATAAAAATCAATAAACTTATTCTAGCACTGCAATCTAAAAAAAAAAAGAATGTTCTCGATTATTGCGGATTTCGGTATACAAACAGCTGAACCTTAACCCCCCTCCCAAAAACAAAAGAACCAAATAATCGCTTTGAGAGGTAATCATGGTATCGTGGTATAGAGAAGAACCGACAATAATTTTATATTTTTTTACAATCAGAGGCTCTGAAACGAAAAGATCTATTGAAAACCAGATAACAAAACTCTGAATCGCATACAAATAACTTTCTCACCTAGGCTAGGGAAGTAAAAGTAAATAAATAAAATAAAGTCAATAAATTTATTGAGCATAATTTAGCAGTTTATATATATATATATATATATTTTTACTGGTACTGATACTGGTAGAGGGGGACTAGTCCGAAAAGTAGGCCAAAATTTAATCCCCCGCCCTCTCACCATAGCCCGAGAAAAACCCATATAGTCGAAGAGATGAGAAAGAGGGGAAAACACAGTGGAAATGTCACGATTCGTTTCTCGAGGCCGTCGAGAAGTAAAAAAGATCCAGATGGGAATTGAATCCACCTCGTTCGACCACGGACCCTCGTCCATCCTGTTATGATTGTTTAAAAAAATAATGACGAAGCAGCATGTGCAAGCTTTTTTGAATAATCGAATCGAAACCTAGGATCAATTTCTTAAATAATCAGATTTAATACTCACTTAGAGGATGTCCTTCGAAACCTCACATTAAAGATTTAATGATGATCGCCTGGGAATTCGGGCATTAGCTACAGAACAGGTGTTGCTAACGCAGATTGCTAGGGTGATAATGTAAAACACTTCAACATCGAAGTAGGATCCCTCATGATTGGATGGCAAATGTGTCTATAACGTCATAGCTTACGTTACTTCCAATTACAATTAGATGTATGATTGTAGGAGAGATTGATAACAGTTTCCTCTCAACAACAGAGTATTGGCAGTAGGTATATATTCTTATCAATATCTATATATCCATCACGTATTGTATTCAACAATATTAATGTTGGTTCCCCTACTTTTATAAGTATAAGTTTCTAATAAATAACTGTGAGACAAACTAATTCTTTAAATATGATTTTGTGTATTTTTCTATTTCATTAAGTATATATCCACGCCAGTCATGGTATTGACAATCGGCAGATGCGTTGTAATAAAATATGGATTGACATTATAAGCATGAGAAAGGAAAGTACCCAGCAGCACCTCTTCCTCAAAGCAGCACCTCATTATTTACTTATTTTATTTAGGTGAGAAGATCTCTCATCCAGCTCCTTTTTATTCTCCTCCTAGTAGGCATGTCAGTCGTGGCCATGTCGTTTATAAGTCTGATTGTGTGTCCGTGTAGTTTGAGATGAAAACGAGAGTAGAGAGTACGTAAGTGTTGGTCTATAGTTGGTTGTTGCAAGTCGCTATGTAAAGTTTTGTTGTTGACGCACCAGGGAGCTCCTGGCTATAAGTCGCAAAATTTTGGATTGAAATGACTGAAGTTTTGCAAGTGTGTCTTTTTTGTCGATCCGTAAATCTGAGAGGCGTATGTCCAGATGGGTTTGAATAATTAAGTGTATATATTTAGTTTTTCTCGAACTTTCAATTTTCATTTAGAAAAAAAGTGAGTACAGTATTGTTAGTCGCTTTTTTAAAATCTGTCGTTTCATTTTGACGTGTGGGCCCCAGGTCATCCTTCTGTCGAATATTAGTCCAAGGTAATGTACCATGTTTGTCTGAGGAATTTGATTCTCTTCTATATAAAATGGTGGGAACATTTCTCATCGAAGTCTAAATATCATATGTTGTGACTTGTCATGATTTAATCTTATTTTCCAAAGTGATTACTAATTTTGTAAAGTCAGTAAGTGATTTTGTAAATCTATTGAGACTAGCCTGAGGTTATGGTGTTTTGTTAGAATTGTTGTATCATCAGCGTAGGTGTTAGTCAATGTTTCGAAGTTGATAAGTACGTCATGCGCAAATATAATGTAGAGTAAAGGAGCCAGTATTGATCCTTGAGGTACTCCTGCTAATACTGGTCGAATTGAGGAAATTTCTAGGCTCTGTCGGACAGAGAAAAATCTGTCGAAAAGAAAAGATTACAGAATGTATGAGGTAATAATAGGTAATAGGTAATGGTAATATGTATGAGGTAGTAGAGTTTTGAGTTTTAAGACAAGTCCCTTGTTTCAGACTTTATCGAATGCCAGGGCAACATCCAGAAACACGGTGGTTGCAAATTGTTTTTGCTCTAGTGCTCCAGTAATGTAGGCAGTAACTTCGTGTAATTGTTGTGTTGCGGAATGGAACGTACGAAAACCTAACTAATGGTAAAGAATTATATTTTTCTCAGTCAATATGCCAACCAATCTTTTGTATATTAATTTTTCGAAAAGTTAAGAACATATTGGGAGAAGACTTATCGGTATATTGTTGTAAGAAACACTAGTGCTTTCCTAGACATTTGCTGGAGCGCCTCGGAAGTTATTAAGTCATAACCTGGGGCTTTTCTTTTGGTTAGAGGTTTGATTTGCTGTGCAACTTGTGAAGGAGTAAATGGTGGTAGGATGGAGTAAATGGAGTAAATGTAGTAAATGGAATGGAGTAAATGGTGAGAGGTGGTAGTGCCAACGGTAGTTGTATGTCTAAACTGTTTAGTACAATTGTTTCCTGTTCTGTGTTCGTAAAGTCAGTATATGGTGTAAATACAGATGATAGATGTTCAGCAAATAGTTCAGATTTCTTTCTATCCGACAAAGCCCATGAACCATCCTCTTTTCGCAGGGGTATTAATACCTCTCGTAGTTTTAACAAATATTTGGTATGCTTCTACAAACTTCCACCGTCATTCGTTTGGCT